ATTCCATGACTGCCTTGTCATTGTTTATTTAAAAAATAAAAATAAAAAAGCCCAACCCCCCCAATCCTGGCTTTATTTAAAGAATAAAAGTTTTCACACTTTCTCAGACCAACTTAGTTTTAAACACATTTAACTGAGAAGAAGAGCAAGTCACTTCATGAGTTACTTCTGTTAAGTTTAAAAATTGTGACAGTCCTGGATTGGATTCATCCCACGAAGGACTCCAGAAATGGGAAATCACTTTGGAGCAGGGGCTCCCAAGTGCCACATCCACATGTCTTTTAAATCCCTCCAAGCTGGGGACTCCACCACTGCTCTGGGCAGCCCGTGCCAGTATTGAAAGAAACCCAGTCATTTCATAGTAAGACTCATCTATTCGAGTCACCTAGAATTTCAAAACTAATATGGGAATGGTTCCATGTACTTTCTTCCTGGTTGTGATGTCCCAGGTTCCACTGACGCAAGCTCCGCAGGACTGGGACAAGATTAAAAAGAGCATTTCCAGGGCACTTCCCCCTGGGTTGAAACCCCACAGAAGGAGCTCCTTGACAAATGTTCCTGTGGATACTGATCCATCTGCTCTCTTGATGGAGGGGACAGTGGTTGCCCTGGCATCTGGATACAGCCAAGCCTGGGAGTGGCAGCAGGAGAGGGACAAGCTGTGGTTGATGTGGAGTCTCCTCGTGACACACAGGGCAACTTGGGTGTGGAAGCTCAAAAGTTCCTTTTAGAAATGCTTTGAACTGAATTCCCTTTGGGACCAAAAGGCTTTTAGCTGTCAGCCTGGCTAACCTATCCCAGGATCTTTAAGGCTCTGCTCCAGAACTTCCATGGTTCAGCCTGGAAAAGAGAAGGTTCTGGGGAGACCTTGGAGCCCTTCCAATGCCTCAAGGAGCTCCAGGGTAGCTGGAGAGGGACTTTGGACAAGGGCCTGAAATAACAGGACAAGGGGGAATGGCTTCACACTGCCAGAGGGCAGGGTTAGATGGGATGTGGGGAAGGAATTCTTGGCTGTGAGGGTGGTGATACCCTGGCACAGGTTGCCCAGGGAAGCTGTGGCTGCCCCATCCCTGGAAGTGTCCAAGTGCAGGTTGGACAGGTCTTGGAGCAACCTGGGCTAGTGGAAGGTGTCCCTGCCCATAGCAGGGGGTGGAATGAGCTTAGCTTTATTGTGCCTTCCAACCCAAACCACTCCATGATTCCATGACTGGGGTGGTGTTGCTGGTCAGAGCACCTTTGGGAAGGGAGCTGCTCCTGGACCATTTTTCAGAGAGGTTTTTTTTTCTTTGAACCTCACTCAAGATTATGTGTGTGCCCAACACTGGAGTTTTTTCTTTCCTGGTTGTGTTTCCCTCCTTTAGACTGACCTTTCTCCAACTTCTAAGAAAGGTTTCAAAGGTTACCAAACCCTAAAAAACCAGATTTGGCCAGCTCAGCTGGGAAGTTTGTGTTCCTTTAAATTCTTGTGCCTTTCCTAATCACTTAGAGGTTTTTTCCCCTAATACATCACTGCAACCTGACCCCGTGGAGCAGAGCTGTTCAGAGGGAGATGAAGGAAAAGCTCATGGAGACAGGAGTCATCTGAGGACAAGGCAGGACTCAGAGAACTCCCCCAGTGATGCTCTGCTGTTTGGGAGCAGGAGGTGTTGGCACGGGATGGTGTTGGCAGGCACAGGGAGCAGAGCCCTCAGTGCTTCCCTTTGGAATAGGAGCCAAGAGCACAGTGGTGTCCCTGGGATGAGAGACCACTGTACCCACAGGGGCTGCAGGACCTGTTCCCTCCCTGGGAGACAGAAGGCAGGAATCTGCAGGAGGAATGTCTCCTAAAATGCCATGGGGGGGGGGGGGGGGGGGGGGGCAGCAGGAATGGCAAAGTGAGACATTTACCTGACAAACAAGGACCGTGGGCAGCAGGAGAGGGGGGAATTCTGCCCCTCTGTCCCCTCAGGTGAGACCCCCCTGCAGAGCTGCCTCCAGCCCTGGGGAACAACAGCAGGAGGGATGTGGAGCTGCTGGAGAGAGTCCAGAGGAGGCCACAGAGATGCTCCAAGGGCTGGAGCCCCTCTGCTCTGGAGCCAGGCTGGGAGAGCTGGGGGGGTTCACCTGGAGAAGAGAAGGCTCCAGGGAGAGCTGAGAGCCCCTTGCAGGGCCTAAAGGGGCTCCAGGAGAGCTGGAGAGGGACTGTGGACAAGGGATGGAGGGACAGGACAAGGGGGAATGGCTTCCCATTGACAGCAGGAAGGGTTAGATGGGATATTGGGAAGGAATATCTTGGCTGTGAGGGTGGGGAGGCCCTGGCACAGGTTGCCCAGAGAAGCTGTGGCTGCCCCATCCCTGGAAGTGTCCAAGGGCCAGGTTGGATGGGGCTTGGAGCAACATGGGCTAGTGGAAGGTGTCCCTGCCCATGGCAAGGGGTGGAATGGGAGGAGCTTTAATGTCCCTTCCAGCCCAAACCATCCTGGGATTCTACGATGCTATGAAATCTCATTCCTGGGTGTCACAGGTCTGACCTTGTGAAAAAACATTATGAAAATGACTTTGCTGCTCCTGTTTCTCATCTCTTGGAAAAATTCACATCCAGCTGGCAACAAACAGCAGCTCATCATTTTCCCTGGTACCAGAAGCACAACAAAACTATTTGCCCGTCTCTTTTTGGAGATGAAATCCAACACTTATTCCTGAGAATACAGGAAAAAGGTTACTTTAATCTTGGCTGATGTGAAGTTCTTAGAGCTGTGATTTGAAGGTACTTGGAAAATTTCCCCAGGAATGGGAGAAGGTTGTTTCCAAAGACATTCCTGAGGAAGGAGAAGACTCCCTTGTGCTGGGACATCAGATCAATGAACTGTGCAGGGTTGTCTGGAGTTCAGCAATGAAGGGGTGTCCAACAACCCAAAAGGCAACAGGAAAGAGGGAAAAGAGCCCAAAGTAGTTGAAAAAAAAAAAACCACTGACAAATAAAAGCCACCCAAAAAGCCATTTTTATGAATCTGTGATTTATTTCTGCCATACCAAATGTGAAGGAGGGAAGATAAATTACTTCAAAACATGCCCTGTGCTAAAGACACCAGAAAGGTGGGACTGTTGCAGGAGGCTGGTCCCAGGGGGAGCAGCACCAGGGACCCTCCAGTCCCAGCCCCTGCCATGGGCAGGGACACCTTCCACTAGCCCAGGTTACTCCAACCTGGCCTTGGACATTTCCAGGGATGGGGCAGCCACAGCTTCTCTGGGCAACCTGTGCCAGGGCCTCACCACCCTCACAGGGAACAATTTCTTCCAAATATCTAACCTCAATTTCCCCTCTTTCCATTTTTACCCATTATTTCTTGTCCTATCACTATGTTATTTACCTCTAAAATCTCCTGTTTAAGCCGTTCCTGCCTCTCTGCCAAGAGGTGCAGGGGAGGTGTGGGATAGAAAAGAGCAGTGGCAAACAACCCTGCTGCAGTGTGAGGGGAGAAGAAAGCAGGCAATAACAGCAAATTGTGGCAAAATTCAATAAAAACGTTAGTCACACAAGAGAAAAATCCATGGGAGACCAGGCCTTCCTGTAACGGGACAGATCTGATGCCTTCTTGGAAAGTGTTATGACTTCCAACCGTGGTTAGAAATGCTGCTGGCACTTTTCTCCCTTGTCTCAGGAGCAGCACTGCCAACATCACCACACACTGCCCCCCAAACCTGAGACAGAGGGGCAGACTGGGGCAACTCAATTTGCCCCAGCCACGTGAACTGGGACCCAGAACCCCTCTGTGTGCTGGGCTGATCCCATAGCATGGGCAGCAAGGGAGGGGGGATTATTATGGGACCCCCCCTGCAGAGCTGCCTCCAGCTCTGGGGAAGAACAGTACAAGGACGTGGAGCTGCTGGAGCACATCCAGAGGGGAACATGGAAGTGCTCTGAGGGCTGGAGCCCCTCTGCTCTGGAGCCAGGCTGGGAGAGCTGGGGGGGTCACCTGGAGAAGAGAAGGCTCCAGGGAGACCTGAAAGCCCCTTGCAGGGCCTGAAGGGGCTCCAGGAGAGCTGGAGAGGGACTGTGGACAAGAGATAGAGGGACAGGACAAGAGGGAATGGCTTCACAGTGGAAGAGAGTAAGTTTAGATTAAATATTAGGAAGAAACTGTTCCCTGTGAGGGTGGGGAGGCCCTGGCACAGGTTGCCCAGAGAAGCTGTGGCTGCCTCATCCCTAGAAGTGTCCAAGACCAGGCTGGAACAACCTGGGCTAGTGGAAGGTGTCCCTGCCCATGGCAGGGGGTTGGAACGCGATGGAACTTCAAGATCCCTTTCCAACCCAGGCCATTCCACCAATCTCTAATATTGTGCCCACGTGTCGTCCCTGAATTAAACACACAGCATGTGCCATCCCCAAGCCACTCCCCAGGTTGCTGCCGGGCGGGGTGTCACGTCCCGTCCCACCCCGATCCCGATCCGCTCCCGGTCCCCTCAGGCCGCTCCCGGCCCTGCCGGGACTTCTTCCCGTCCGCTGCTCTCGCGAGACAACGCCGCCGGTGCGTCACGCGCCCCGCGCGCGCGCGCGCGCGCTCTGCGCTTCTCTCCTTCGGCCGGCCCGCCGCCGTATCCTTCCGCGCGCTCCCCCTCCCCCTTCTGGAGAGTTCTGCACGGCGGTGCCGCACGACAAATAGTTCCCCGCCGCTCCCCCTCCCCCCCCTCCACACGCCCCCCTCCCAGCCCCTCCTCCTCCCGCCGGTGCCGCTCCGGCCTCCCCGTTCTGCCCCATCCCCCCCCTCCGCGCCGGTAACCGGCAGCGCGGCCCGTGGAAGGGGGGAAGCGGCGGCGGCGGAGTGATCCGCGGCAGGCGACGCGGAGGCAGCGCATAAAGCAGCGGTGGCGGAGGGAGAGGAGGAGGTGCGGCACCGCTGAGCCCGCGGCCGCCACCGCCCCGACACCGGCTCGGCCCCGGCCCCGCCGCCCCCGGGGGGCCCCGGTCCCCTCCCTCCCCTCCGCTCTCTCCGTCCGTCCGTCCGCCCCCTCCCCGTCCCCTCCCCGCGCCGCGCCGCCGCCACCTCCGCGCTGCTCCTCCTCCTCCTCCCCCCTCCCCTCGCAAATAGTCCCGCGGGCCGCCCCCTCCCTCCGCCCGCGCCCCTCCTGCCGCCGCCTCGCGCACACAATGGCGCTGAAGAGAATCCACAAGGTAAGGGCCGCACGGCCCGGCCCGGCCCCGCACCGCCCGCCTTACATAACCCTGCCGGGGCCCCGGGGCTGCCGCTCCGGGGGGGGGTCGGGTCGGGCCGGGCCGCCTCGCGCGGGGCTCGGGCCGGGCGGCAGCGCGGGGGCCGCTCCCGCTTTGTTCGAGGGGGGCCCGGCCCGGGCCCCTCCGGAGCAACGTGGCCCCCCGGGGCGGGGCGGGGGCCGCGAG